CTGATACATGTGACATCAATACATGATACATGATCACTAAGATCTAAAACGACAGTTTCTGAGTGCTGGGGATTCTTCACTTTTCTGAAGTCAAAGTACAATATGGCCGGGACAGGAAGGGGGTTTAACCCCCCTGTCATCAAGTGGTTAATCTGCATCAGGTCAGCTTCCAAATACTTGTCTACAGAGGATCAGCAAAGCTTGTCACGATGTGGCAAAATTGGATCCACCCTTTCACTTCTCACCGGTCCCAAGACAAAGGTCTGAAGCAGAGCGGTGGGGCTGATCTTCAGAGTACAAGCTCCTGGAAAAAGACCCACCCACTGCACCTGTGAGGAGCTCTGTGAAATCTGGCTGCTGAGGATAATACAGCAATCAGACAACAGTACACTGAGTGATCCTTCTGACTTTATAACAATGGCAATTGTTATTCCTAGCTAGCATTGGCTTTCTGTCTGCATGTGATAAAACTGAATGACTGTTTTGCACAGCACGTATTGTGAAATCCTATCGGACGTTACAGAAACAAGTCTTGAGCCAGATTTGTTTGGTTTTGTTTAAGTTACCCCGGCATAGTTCTATCTGCATCAGGTTCCGTGTTCTTTCTAAAAAAAAACTGCCATGCAAGTCGGTGAAAAGAAAAAAAAAAAAAGAATCCCATTTGTTTGGATTTTTCCCCCCCTCTATTGAGCAGCGATTACAATTTCATTCTCAGCCCAGGTTTTCCCGATCTTATGCTTTTAAGAAATGCATTTCCTCGCTGCAGCCGACAGACAGTCTATTACCGGGAGATTGCTCTAGCTTTTTTTCCACCTTATCATTCACCGGCAACCGCCTCGCCGTCTTGTTCCTAAATCCATATTCCGACCGCACGACTCGCTAAGGAGCGAGCTGATTATGTACAGCGTGTTTGCTGGGAGACGAAACGCGCCTCAGACTTATAAACAGAATTTACGAATATAGTGTTTGCCCTCGAGAGCCGCGCGTTATGTTAATAGCGTTATGGATTTTGCGTGCGTGCCGCCCTCGATGTAAAGCCCTCTTCCATTTATTGAACGGAAGGCACTCTTTAGTGGAATTAATAAATCATTCAATATTTACAGTGTGCTTAAACTTTCGAGAACCTTAACCCAGGTTGTTGTTGTTTTTTTTTAATTAGGCAAGTTGTTGGCGGTTGTAGGAATACTAGTAACTAGTTGACGTCGGCCATAGCGGGTCCCCATGCACAAGCATTTGGTTCCCCTTGGTTTTGCTCCGTTTATTCACATTCCATCTTACCTTAGATTCTCCAGAGCTCTCGGAAGGGGGCCTGCAGGACATTTTAGTGGGCCTTTCTCATCAGGCTCTACCCCAGGCAATCCAGTTGTTCTCTCTAGCATTACCCATGGTGCACTGCTGACTTTTTTCAAGCACTGTGGATGCTGCTATAATGCCACTGCGAGGAAAGTGATAATAAAGTCAAAATCACTTACAATGGATGCTGCTCCTTGATGTTTAAAAGTTTTACTTTCCTGCAGATTGAGCTGATTCCTTGCTTAGCATTAGGTTTGCTAGAATAGGGGTTTGTTTTAGAGTGACAGGGAGGGTTAGTGTTAGGTTTACTAAAGGGAGGGTTAGTTTTAGAGTTACAGGAAGGGTTAGTGTAAGGTTTGCTAGAAGAAGGGTTAGTGTTAGTTACAGGGGGGGTTAAATTTGGGTTTACTAGAGGGATGGTAAGTGTTAAGAGTTATAACAAGGGGTGTTAGGTTAGGGTTAGTTGTTAGTGTTCGGATTACTATAGGGAGGGTTAGTTTTAGAGTTACAGGGAGGGTTAATGTTGGGTTTACTAGAGGGAGGGTTAGTGTTAGGTTTACTAGAAGAAGGGTTAGTGTTAGAGTTACAGCAAGGGGTGTTAGGTTAGTGTTAGTGGTTAGTGTTAGGATTACTAGGGAGGGTTATTGTTAAGGTTAGTGTTAGAGCTACAGCAGGGGTTAGTGCTAGGTTTACTAGTGAATAGGTTAGTGTTAAGTTTACTAGAGGGAGGTTTAGTGTTAGAGTTGCAGGAAAGGTTAGTTTTTCAGCAATGGATAGTGTTGAGATTGGTGTTAGATTCACAGAAAGGAGAATTACGGCGATGGATAGTGCTGAGGTTACAGGAAGGCTAGTGCGTATTAGGGGTCCTAGCCGTAGAGTTTTTTCCTTTGTCATATGTAGGCTGCCATTTCTGATCTCTGCTTCTAAACAATGCTAGGTGCTCGGCTGGCATGCTGATCTGTAGCAATACTTTCTGAGTCGCCATGTTGAAACAAGTTTGCCTATGTAGAGTTCCACCATCACTCTGACTTGTGGGCTATTTCTAGGTCAGTGGCTGAGAAATACTGAGGTCATAGGATCAACAAGACAGACAGGCAACTTCAGGAGGCGGTCTCCATTAGTATCCTTGTATGTCAGCTCAGGTTTCCTTAATCCTACACTTCAGTAGAAATATATGTCGGCATGGAGATCAATGCTACCACAGCAATATGTGCATATGTAATATTGTGGCAGACTTCTCATGTCCAAAACTTAGAATATCAGCATTGAAAGTATTGGCAGCAGCATAAAATGTCCCAGATTATTGGCAGTGAGAAACCTGTCTACAAAGAAGGTCTTCTTCCAAGTAGTTGCCTTGCACCTCAACCACGGCCCCATGAGGGCTCTTCATTTAGGTCACTAGGGCCTCCATGAAGACTCCATAGCAAGGTCTAAAGCTGGCCATCCAGCTATAGATTTTCTATAGACTTTTTTTCTATCAGCCTATGGTCAGATGGAAAAAGATTCCTCCATCTACGCTAAACTGTGTGGATGGAGGAATCTCCCACTGGGCCAAGCTTCAGTATCTTGCTAGTCGGCCCCGCTTAGCCGTCAAACTACCTGAACAATGCCTGAATCTAATCAGATTATTCAGTTATTTTGAGAGCCAGTGGGGCCGACTAGCAAGATACTGAAGCTTGGTCCAGCGGGAGATTCCTCCATCCACACAGTTTAGCGTAGATGGAGGAATCTTTTTCCATCTGACCATAGGAAATATGCAGATAATCTATAGGTGCATGGCCAGCTTTAGCCTTGTCTGGCAATCTCAGTCAAGGTCCTCTTAGGGTGTGCAATGCTTATTTCATAGAACATACTCACACCAAAGATTACCACCTAAGTATAGTAAGAGCACCCTGTTTGATTAAGGCAAAGTTTTTTCGGAGGTGGCCATATGAATTGAAGGTCGAGTCTGCCTGAATTCTTTTTTTTTTTTCCCCTCAGACATTTATTTCAGAAATTAAGTTATATGATAAGCAGCTCAGAGCAGTTTGCAGGATTTGTTACTGCTTGACTTTCTGGGACCGGGACCCATAATTCTATTCTACTTCTTCACCTGGCCTCTAAGATCATGACATTTTTCTTTGATCTTTCCATATTTCGGAGCATTACTCAGCATTGATGTTTTGAGTCTTGAGAGTGAAATTGCTCTCCTCTCATCCTTTCATCATGGCTTCCCTTATGTCTGGACTTTGATTACCCGGCCCTGCTGTATTTTGTACTTTCAATCCTTTTCACATTATATTTCCTCCAGTAGGAATTTGATTTTTTTTTTCCCATGTCCCCATCCTCTCCTGTCATTTCTTCATCTCGGCAACGGGCCCGGTGGTCCCCTAAGACTTTCTTCTTTTAAGTTGAAGCCAGAAGTTTTGTTGCGGAGACTTTGCATACACGGTTTCACTGTGACAAATGACCCTGTAATGCGAGCTCTAATTGTTTTACATTATACAATGTAAGGGATTCCGATATTCCCTGCAAATGTGGTGAAGCAACAGTGGCCATATGTCTGCATTAATGATATCGGCACCCCGCTGGCATCCCTCGTTGCTGCAGTTTGTCTACTTTGCAATCATTTTTTTCTACTTTGCTTCGTTAAGTACATTTTTTTGTTTTTTTCTTGTGTTTGTTTTAGGTCTCAAAAAGTATGTGTAAACCCACTAACTAAATTCTCATATAAGAGATTCAAATAATATCTGGTGATCCTGGCAAGGTCCTTTTTTCAGGCACTTCCTGTTACAGGTTGACAGGGTCCTGTCCCAGTCTATCTATCCTGCCCATGTATTGTAACCCTGTCACATATACACTATATTGCCAAAAGTATTGGGACGCCTGCCTTTAGACGCACATTAACTTAATGACATCCCAGTCTTAGTCCGTAGGGTTCAGTATTGAGTTGGCTCCGCCCTTTGCAGCTATAACAGCTTCACCTCTTCTAGGAAGACTGTCCACAAGGTTTAGGAGTGTGTCTATGGGAATGTTGGACCATTTGTCAGGTACTGATGTTGGAGGAGAAGGCCGGGCTCGCAGTCTTCGCTCTAATTCATCCAAAAGGTGTTCTATGGGGTTGGGGTCAGGACTCTGTGCGGCCAGTCACGTTCCTCCACCCCAAACTCGCTCATCCATGTCTTTATGGACCTTGCTTTGTGCACTGGTGCGCAGTCATGTTGGAACAGGAAGGGGCCATCCCCAAACTGTTGCCACAAAGTTGGGAGCGTGAAATTGTCCAAAATGTCTTGGTATGCTGATGCCTTAAGAGTTCCCTTCACTGGAACTAAGGGGCCAAGCCCAACCCCTGAGAAACAACCCCACACCATAATCCCCCTCCACCAAACTTTACACTTGGCACAATGCAGTCAGGCAAGTACCGTTCCCCTGGCATCTGCCAAACCCAGACACGTCCATCGGATTGCCAGACAGAGAAGCGAGACGCTTCAGCAAATCCTCAGCACTAAAGATACAAATGGTAAAAATAGTATTTTTTTTAAATGACTGTTGTTTATGGTCTGTGTATGAGTACCTAGTGACCTGAGAGCTCTTCAGATACCTTGTCTTTGGAGTCTAGAAAGTTAGATGTAATTAGTACAGACAGCTGCCATCTGCCTCAAACTGAATGGTTTTTTTTCACATTGTCTTTGTCGGATCTGTGTGTAACATTCCTTTCACTATTCCAGGTGTCGTTCATCCAGAACTTGGTGTTTTGCGTTGAGAGAGCGTACCGCGTGCCAGACTTTGGGATCTGGGAGAGAGGCAGCAAGTACAACAACGGCAGCACAGAATTGCATTCAAGGTATTTGCACACAGCTCATTCCATTATTTCTTCACTCTGATGGGCTAATTAAGTCACAGGCCCATTTGATTTGGCTATTATTCCTTATGGCAGGCTTTATGGACGCTCCACATAAATAGATTGGATTAGCAAAACTCCGTAATGAAGGAGATGAAGACTGAGTAAGCACAGCTAAATTATAGCCCCTTCAGCTACAGGGAACAATGCACTTCTCATTTCTTTCATTTGTCGCTGAGGAGTTCAATCTATCCGTTCTGCAGTTCACTGGACTAGATTACTTCATTATTGGGCTTAAAAGACCCCACCAAGCGTCATTTGCGTCCAAACTGACCACATGACATATCCACTTAGTAATTTCAGGCAGACACCCTTTTTGTCAAAAACATTTATTGGGATCATTCAGGCTGCAGCAGTCATACAACAGGAAAAAAGGAATTGCTTGTTCCAAAGTCTTTGCTGGATAGGATTCAATCAATGAAATCAAGCGTACAAAAAACTAGTTATGTTCCCTCAAACCAATAAGAGCTTTTGTTAATGTGCTTGCTGCATCAGGATGATGTGGGATGGGCACAGACCCACTGTAACTCCTGACACCTAACTGCTAGTGATCCTAAAGAGGACCGGAACTCAAAAAGAGAAGAATTATGAAAATGTTAATCATGCCTAGTAAACGGAAAGATCTTATTTTTGTGTTGAATTCCTTTTGAAAAACAACAGTGCACTCCCTGTGCTTAGGCAGTCCTGTGCCTGCAGCGTGAGATCATCTAAGACACTGTTGCCTCTGACTGTTAGTCTCACCAGAATGGGAGTGAGATTTGGTGCTGTCACTACTATGTTGCTCACTGTTCTCTTTGCTGGAGTGGAAGCTGTACTTGATTACCTGCAGCACATGCATGCCTTTGCTTTATTCTTCCTGTGAATCTGTGCTTCCTGCACCTTTACCATTGCTTCTAGTATTTCCTTTACCGGTCATCAGGGGAGTAACCCTGACATGAGGAAGCAAAGCCCTACTCCTCCACCAAGATGGCCACTTCCACTCAGCGATACAGTGCAAAACAAGGCATGTTAAGTCGGTAATGAGGAAAGATCAGATACAGGGAGCCTACAAGCAATACCGTTGACTAGTCCTTTGCTTTTTACTTGCTTTTTCTGGACACAGCTTCCTTAGTTCTGGTTCTCTTAAGACCCCATTCACACTTAGCGACATACCTTTTGCAGCAGGTCCGCACAGCCGGGATAGCGCGACTTTCGGGGCGACGTTCCAGGGACGATCCAGCTATGGTAGCGCGAACTTCTCCGTCGGGCTCCATAGAAAAAAGGCAAAATCGCGCAAAATCCGCCGGAAAAAAGGGTCCGGTAGAAGCAACTTGCGACCGCGACGCGCGACATGGAGTTAAGACAGCTCCATTGAATAGCATTGGCCGACGACTTCTCGCGATATCGCGCGATAATTCACTACATGTGAACGGGGCCTTAAAGAAGAACTATTATCTTTTTCAGTTTAAATAATCTAAATGCATATCAGTTGGATCAAACCAAAAGGCGTGGAAAGTTTTACAGTTGGTTTTAGTTAGATGCACCCACAGCCTGAATAGGAAAGCTGCTTCCCTTCCAGTAGAGATGGACACCTGCTCTCTATATGAAAGCAGTGCCATGGTCTGACACTCCCCCTGCTGAGTCAGAGCTAGGTCCCCAGTCAGCAGGAGCATGAGTTTTGGCAGCAACCAAACCAGCTGCAGACAAGTCTGAAGTACTTCCAGCACAACTCAATACAAATTTCAAGCTAAAGGGATTTCTCTCAGTAAAGCGGACCAGAAATTCTACCAATGCATCCCTCTATGTATGATGATTAATAATAACATAGACATGTCGGGTGTAAAATGCTGCGATCGTGAAATACTTACACTTGCAGAGCTTTCACTTCCTGCTTTGAAAGGGCAAAATGACTTCAGTTTGCCAAAGCAATGCACACTGGGATTGCTCAGCATCAGCAGAGCATTGCTGGGAAATCTCATCTGTAATCTCATGAAATCTGAGGGAAAGGCATTTTCCTCCCCAGAGATGATGTCACATGTCCTAGTCACATGTGCCAGTAATCCAGGAAGTAAAAGGAGAGCTAGTGATCTGCCCTTAGTAAACATGGCCACTGTCAGAAGTACTGGGAAAGAAAAGAGAACTAAGGTATGCAAAGAATACAAAGTCGGCATTTATCTAGAGCATGGGTAGCCAAACCCCGGCCCTCCAGCTGTGGTGAAACTACAAATCCCATGATGCATCTCTCTCGGGGAGTCATGTCTGTGGCTGTGAGAATCTTGCAATGCCTCATGGGATTTATAGTTCCACCACAGCTGGAAGGCCGGAGTTTGGCTACCCCTGTTCTAGAAGGATGTGTTTGTAGATTGTCATTACTTAACATAACTCTAGTTGTCCCCCTGATCCTAATGGAAAGGAATTGCACCGATACCGTTTTTTTCCCGGTATCGAGTACCGATATTTTGCTGTCGGTACTCGCCGATACCGAGTGTCGATACCTGTGCTTCCGCTGGCATGGACCCGGCTTCCTGGGCAATGTGTAATGACACGCCGCCCGGCTTTCTAATTGCCTTGGAAGCCGGCTCCATGTTCTCCAACGGCACTGCCTGTCGGAGGAAATCTTCCTCTGACCGGAAGTTCTGGTATCCCTACAAATGGAATAAAGTTGTATTTTGTCTATTTCTAATTAGTGTGGCGCTTCAATTGCCGCATCTCCTCAGTATTGTATTCAAGCACATATGACTGCCTAAGTGCAATGGTGCTGCCAAACAGTTAGTGCCTGTAATAGGTTATTTGCAGATCCCCCCACGGCTCAAATGTCATCCGCTTCAGCCAAAATTTAGGCCATCTATGGGGGCCTTAACAGTTGAAGTTAAATCAGGTCTTAGCAGAATTATCATTCTTTTATATATGAGGCCCATTGATTTCATGGAAAATTCAGAGGTGTACATAAGCCAACCGCACCATGTCTCTGTGATCTGTGGCCAGTCCTCTAGCTGAAAACCCCAGTTCCAAACCATTTTCTAATCTTAGGACTTCCTTGTCCCATAAGAACCTTGATATTCAAAGGAGCTGCGAGTGTGACATTGTAACAAATGTGTTTGTTCAGCATGTTAATCGCGTTTATTAGCGGCTCACGATGCGTTCTTCATTTATTTCCCGAAAAAAATAAATGGCTTTGTCTCATGGTGTGGATCGCGGCGCCGGTGATGGAAGCGTATTCATCTCCAAGATATTAGGCATCATAATTAAGCAATGAGGGTTGATGAAATTCCAGCTTGGAGCAGCGCGGGCAAGTAAATCATACTTTTACCTCACAACGTTCAATGTATTAGCATGTCAGTGTTGATAGATGTATACTTAACCAGTCACATTACTGCAGTCGTAATTCATTCCGCTGACACCTCACACGAGTCCCATTATAATGAAAACAGAGAGCGGTTTTCTGGCGCTCACTAAGACGGTATCTACAGAGAACATTATAATATTGTAGATCTTATGTATCGTTTTCTATCTCAGTGACTTTAAAGAAGACCTGTGCCGTGGAAGCTGTGCACAAAAAAAGCAGGCAGAGGTCAAAGGACTAGTCACCAGTATCGCCTGTGTCTCCCTGCAGCTGATATTTACCAATTACTGACTTACCATGCCTTGGTCTGCATTGCATCTCTGTGTGGATACAGCCATCTTGCTGGAGGCAGGGCTTTGCTTCCTCAAGCTTGGAATACAGTGAGTAGCACAGTACTGGCACCACCAAATCTCCTGAGACTGGCAGCAGTGCCTTAGATCTCACATTGCAGATAAACAGCTATGAGACTGTAGGCACAGGAGTGTCTAGGCACCCCCGCTTACATAGAATTGCGCCGCTGTCAGGAGGAGTTTTAGGGCTAGTTCACACCAGATGCAGTGCGTTCCGGCCCGATTCTGGGCAGAACGGACTGCCTCGCATAGCGGGCGGCTCACTTTTTTTGTGGGGCAGGAAAGGGCGTGGCGGTCCATTGAAGTGAATGGCACCGTAGCCACGCCTTCTGACCAAAATGCGATCGGCCGCACGGGATCGCAAGGCACAATTATGCCTGCTGTACGGTCCAGTCCCGTCCGATCAAATGCTGTAAGCACTATTTTGACTGGATCGCAGGCATAATGTGCCTAGCGATCCCTTGCGGCCGTAGGGCGTGATTTTGGAATATAAGCGACAGGCGACTTCACACTAGAACTTCATCACACTACATTACATCACGCTACACACATGAAGAGAACTCTAAACACGCCCTCAAGACGAGACTTTGTTATTCCACCTGCTAAGAAGTAGGGCTGCAGCTAACGATTATTTTCATAATCGATTAGTTAGCCGATTATTAAGTTCGATTAATCGGATTTTTTTTAAAAAAAGGCTCCAGTGATGGACTACTAGTTTCTATTGAGATTGTAGTCCATCACGGGAGCAAGCTTGGCGAACGGTGAAGTATCGGGGGTCTAAACAGACCCCTGATATATCCCTTTTAAAATAGAAAAAGAGATTGAGGATACAGAGTTATCAATCTCTTTTTCTGCAGCCCTGGTTATAAATGAACAGGAATCCTCTATACTGAGTGTTCCTGTTCATTCATAACTTGTGGATAGAGTATGTTTACTGTGCCCACAATCAGGAATGAACAGGAAGTGATGTAGATTACTTCCCATTCATTCATAATTGGGGACACAGTAAACCTACTCTGCCCTCAATTATTTACAAACACTCAACAATCACTGACTGCTTGTACCTGCTCTCCATCCTGACTCGCTGTCACAGGAGGCTAAGCGTACAGTGAGCGAAGGAGAGCTTGATCTCCGCCCCCGCACCACCGGCCTCCTATGGCAGCCAACAGCTGTCTCCGCCCACACACTGCTGCTCTTCTGATTTGTCACAGGGGGCTGAGCAGTGCGGGAGGAGAGCTGGATCTCCTCAGACAGCTGACACTTCCCTGCAC